ACGTGGATGGCGGCTTCCTCGTGGATGGCTGCGGGGCTGCAGGGGGGACGTGGATGGCGGCTTCCTCGTGGATGGCTGCGGGGCTGCAGGGGGGACGTGACATGCAGCAGACAGCACGCCCGCGAGATTCAAAAACGGCCAGTTTGAAAGCGCTGGCCTTGCCTCCCGCCACCTGAGTCTGCACAGACTGTGGTGGGTCCGGCCTTCGACCAATGTCTGGTAGGGCGAAAAGACACACAAAAATCGGCCCAGTATTTTTCCGGGGCTGCCGGGGACCCGAATAATGTCCTTGGCGGCCCCTTTTTTTTTTCTGATTTTTCGTTGGGGGGCCCGGTTCCGGACGTCCAGGACCGGACACCGGACCCCTTCATAATGTTTGGGGGTGCGGACGTCCGGTTGGTTACCATGGTTAAAAGTCAAAACTATAAAAAAATTTAAAAATAATTTAGAAAGTAACGAATTACTAATAATTCATTACTTGGGTATTTGTAATAACTCCGGTCAAGTCATGCAATAGCCGTGGGCCATGGGTCATCATTTCTGTCGAAGGGCCGAAATAGGGGTCAATGGCCACGCCCAAGTCATGAAAATTGCCTAAACAAAGGCCTGCTACTGTGGGTACCCGAAGCAAGGCCTAAAACTGGGCTTCAGAGGCCCAACATGCAACAGTTGACGGTAGAAAGTCAAAGGTCAACAGAAGCTCAGAAATTTGGGCTCACGAGTCAAAGTCAACATGGACCCAGCCCAGGCCACCGATCAGGCACACACACTTGGCTGTTTGCAGGCTCACTAGTCAAAGTCAACATGGACCCAGCCCAGGCCACCGATCAGGCACACACACTTGGCTGTTTGCAGGTATCTATCGAGAATCAAGTCCAAGTGGGAATCTGCAACTGTATGGGATCCAGGCCATTGGCCGCAAGTCAATCTGGGCCATCGTATCTGAGAGACCAGAGGCTGGTCAATCGGAGTCAACACTATATGTTGACCCAGCCCCTGCTGACCAACATTCAGTCTTGCACTTTCTGCTTGACGCTG